TTTGCTGCTTGGGTTGTTTCCCTAGTCTATTTTGTGGTGTGTGTTGTCAATTGTAATTGATAATAGCTCATCTGATTTGGAAAGTTACATGCACTGACATTTTGCCACCCACTTAAGACCTTGCATGATGGAGTTTTCCCGTGCTCCATTCTATTCAGTTTTTGGCATTATCAGTAGCAATTATTGGCATTATCCTTAACAGTGATTGACACATCAGTTTCAAAAGTTTTGGATATAGGTTTTGGATAGAGGATTTTATTGTTAACTATCAGTTTTCTCATACTTAACCTGAGAGAGGTAATTTGTCAGAGATGTTCTAATAACAATCGCCCAGCAATTGATGCTGCCATTTTTTATCTTGAACTTGAGTCTTGAGTTGATCTGTATATAATATTTTAAATTGGGTTTAGACTTTGATAGATGTGGTGATTCATTATCCCCCTTTTAAGAAATTATTTTCTGTACACAGACTTTGATAGTTGTCGTTTTGCCATTTACGTGCATACTGCTTAATTCCTATATGTTCGCATATCTAATGCCTAAGTTTTTGAAATTCTTGTTAACTTTGGTTTTATGCAAATCTGAAGCTTATGTGAGTTAGCTATATATATAAACCTGAAATTTATGCAAGCTTGAAATTCATATGAGCGGGTTTTATGAAAGAACCATAGATGTTTTCTTTTGCCCCCATATTTTTACTGTTGTGAGGCATTTTGGTGGGCTGATTTGAAGCAATCTATGCACTGTTTTGGGGCCTTTTGGTGGGTTGATTTGAAGCAATCGACACACTGTTTTGGGCCTTTTGGTGGGCTGATTTGAAGCAATCTATGCATTGTTTTGGGGCCTTTTGGTGGGTTGATTTGAAGTACCGCTTTGGCACAGCCTTGGCTCGGTTTTTCCCGCTATTTCAAGCTGATATAATTGATGTTTTTGGGAAGATTTAAACATTTTTTTTAGGCCGGCTCACTCACGGTTTTGCCTCTTTGCTTTGATGGCTTTTTGGAAATTGTTTGACTTCTCCTTTTTTCCCGTTGATTTGCTTTCTTTTTTTTTTTTCTTCTTACCCGATGATGTGGTCCTACATGCTTATAATGAGATATAAGTGTGTATAGTATAGTGATATGTGGATCATCAAGTGAGCATAAGTTGGACGGTTCGGGGTTTAAGGGCGATGATGACAAAGAAATCTGCGAATAAAACAAAATAATATTGCATCCTACGGTATCAGGATTTGACCCTAGGTCCTGGTGAGAATGTAGGATGACAATATTCACCAACACTAGACTAGTGATGAACCTTGTTTTCTTAAGCTGTCGGTAGTTTTAGCTCGACAATATAATCGACTCGTGGATAATAGAAATCACAAAATATATAAATATAATGACAAAACAATTACATTCCTTACAACATCAATACTTTTGATTATTAAATAAAAATCTATTTTACTTAGATGCATGATAAACCATCTTTTGGGCATTTTGGTGGGCTGATTTGAAGCAATCTATGCACTGTTTTGGGGCCTTTTGGTGGGTTGATTTGAAGCAATCGACACACTGTTTTGGGCATTTTGGTGGGCTGATTTGAAGCAATCTATGCACTGTTTTGGGGCCTTTTGGTGGGTTGATTTGAAGCAATCGACACACTGTTTTGGGCATTTTGGTGGGCTGATTTGAAGCAATCTATGCACTGTTTTGGGGCCTTTTGGTGGGTTGATTTGAAGCAATCGACACACTGTTTTGGGCATTTTGGTGGGCTGATTTGAAGCAATCTATGCACTGTTTTGGGGCCTTTTGGTGGGTTGATTTGAAGCAATCGACACACTGTTTTGGGCATTTTGGTGGGCTGATTTGAAGCAATCTATGCATTGTTTTGGGGCCTTTTGGTGGGTTGATTTGAAGCAATCGACACACTGTTTTGGGCATTTTGGTGGGCTGATTTGAAGCAATCTATGCATTGTTTTGGGGCCTTTTGGTGGGTTGATTTGAAGCAATCGACACACTGTTTTGGGCCTTTTGGTGGGCTGATTTGAAGCAATCTATGCATTGTTTTGGGGCCTTTTGGTGGGTTGATTTGAGTACCGCTTTGGCACAGCCTTGGCTCAGTTTTTCCCGCTATTTCAAGCTGATATAATTGATGTTTTTGGGAAGATTTAAACATTTTTTTTAGGCCGGCTCACTCACGGTTTTGCCTCTTTGCTTTGATGGCTTTTTGGAAATTGTTTGACTTCTCCTTTTTTCCCGTTGATTTGCTTTCTTTTTTTTTTTTTCTTCTTACCCGATGATGTGGTCCTACATGCTTATAATGAGATATAAGTGTGTATAGTATAGTGATATGTGGATCATCAAGTGAGCATAAGTTGGACGGTTCGGGGTTTAAGGGCGATGATGACAAAGAAATCTGCGAATAAAACAAAATAATATTGCATCCTACGGTATCAGGATTTGACCCTAGGTCCTGGTGAGAATGTAGGATGACAATATTCACCAACACTAGACTAGTGATGAACCTTGTTTTCTTAAGCTGTCGGTAGTTTTAGCTCGACAATATAATCGACTCGTGGATAATAGAAATCACAAAATATATAAATATAATGACAAAACAATTACATTCCTTACAACATCAATACTTTTGATTATTAAATAAAAATCTATTTTACTTAGATGCATGATAAACCATCAACTTTGAATGATACAATTTAAATGTTCACTTGTCAGTTACCTATATTGGGTCAAGAATTGGCTTCCTTCGATTGTCTTATTTGAAATTTCTAATTGAATGTCGGGCTTTATATACGTGGATGATCGATAGTTGCCTAAAAAGTTTTTCGGGATTGTCATGATAAATTTGAGCCTACCTGGAGCCTGAATGCTTATGGTCCCCGCTTCAAATTTCCATGTGTGCCGCCGTGTCTGCTCTACATACTTGTATTGTCTTTATGTTGTTATTCAATTCTTCGTATATATATACATGATATGGTTATAATATTAACTTTCTTGCAGCAATGACAAGAATCCCAGATACACATGCATTTTATTTTCTTTACCGCTTTTTTTACATTTTACTGTTTTTTTTTACTACATATCTACTGCTGTGTTTTCTTAAAAAACTTGCAAGACTTTTAAGGTGGAAAACAGTAGACTGGTTGTTTAGAAGGTATACTGTGACAGGCTACCGACCAAACAAATTTGCATGCTCACACATATAACCCTAAACCCTAAGTCAATACGCTACGGAACTTGGAGAAAGCTTTATGGGCAGCACAACGAGGATACGAGCAAGTGCAAAATAACTTCAAAAGACTCGACACATGTACAGATCTACTTCAGCTAAACCATTCATAAGTCTTAAATAACACAATCCATAGGACTTTGATGTAGTTTATCTAGCATGACATAAATCCTTACTTTTTCTTTAGGCTCCTGCACGACCGTGTGGTGCAGCATAAGTCCCAACTCTCTTTAGATTCAGAGGTTGTCGTTCGGTACGACGCAAATGCTTCTATCTCAGTGGGTTATTTGCATAATCGGGTATTATACTAGTTTAAATCCCAAATAATAAAATTGACAAGATTGAACATTTAAATAGCATAGTTTCCAAAACTCAGCCACACAATAGAATAGTTTGGGAAGTCACTGAGGGTTCTTTTTAGGATCCGTGACGTCCTCTACTTTTTTCTTCCTTTGGACTTCTGAAATAACTGCTCCTATTTGGTCATTTCTGACTTGATTTTTCTAATTCAACCGTGAAAATCTAAACCTTGGATTCTTGAAAACTAGTATCTCTGATCATTATCGAGAGTTTTCTTATGTGATCTTGATCGTTTGAGATGTAATTAACTATAAGGGTTTGCCCTTATAGGAAATTTGAAACTCATGTAAAATAAACCCTATTTAATCTTTGTATTAGATAGAGGAATGTCGGACACACAAAAGGTTCGTAGACTAAAATGGATGTCACAAATCTTTTAATTTGCATATTTGAGTATATCGCGGATGGATACACTTATATTTCGGGAAGGTGTATTATTTATTCGCGGCATCGAACACGATTATGTAAACTATTAATCGAATGAGATCCATTTGGTCTCATTTTTCAAAATTAAAACACACTATTTTCAAAATTAAAAAAAATTATATACCTTTTATATCAAATTAAATCATTTTTTTAAAAAAAAAAAAAAATTAACGGACACACATGGTAGAATTGGATAGCTTATGAGTAGGAATTTTATACAGCTGTTCAAGCCTTTAAATAGTGGGAGCATTATTTATTCCATAAGGATTTCATGCTATGGGGTGATAATCACGCCTTGCAATTTATTAATTCTCAAAAAATTGTAAATTGTATGCATGCTTGTTGAATCACGTTCTTACAAAAGCTCAGTCAGGAGACGGAAGATATTGAAAAATATAATTGGTTTATTTTTATTCATTTCTTTCCGGTTGTTCTGGGCTGCATCTCTGCTCTTACTCATTGGGTATGCCGCAAACATCTCTTAAGCCCACCAATTGCAATGAGGAAACAGTGACCCATAACCATTGATTCTGTTTTCTTTCATTTTGATCTTTGGTGGCAATTCAGGCTACGTTTTCCCATTATCTTTTCTCTTTTTAGATGGAAATCTGGTGATTTACTGAATCTCCTTTATAGCCCATTTAACATATTCCCAAGCATGAAAATTCCTCGAAGGAGATTGTTTTCAGTTAACGGCTGATTTTATTGGCTACACAGTTGATGCAAAAGCAAAAGGTTTGCATGCATATTAACTCATCGATGTTTGTTTCTAAGTTGCTGTGTTTCTTCACTAATTCTTTATTTTCATAGATTTAATACATAAACATTCCGGACAAATCAATTTCATTTATTTTTCAGGGATTTACTTTACCATGCAATCTTTTATAGCCAAGCAAATAGCCCCTAAATATAATTATTTTCACTCCTATTTGTTACGTTATGGTTAGCTTATTTCTGTTAAATATTATTGTTCTAAATACTTGCAGGAAACAAAGTATGTGCCAATTACAAGGGGAAACAGAGTGGTCCTGATGATTAATGGGTAACTGCACTTCCACCGCTGATTTTATATTTGTTCTATTAAAAAATATCTGGTATATGATCTATTATGGTCGAGGATATCAAAACTTGTAATGCCAAATTTTACCTGAGTGATTCGCATGAATATTGTCAAATTTGTTTATTTTGTTTCCATTTTAAAGGGTGTTGATCTTCTTGATTCATCCAAACTGTAGTTCTCTAAGCAAACAAGGACTCTAATTTCTGAGGTGGTGAATCTTCTAAATCATTATTGTGAAAGCATGAGAGCAAACTTCTGTATTTTCTCAAATAACGGTATGAAGGAGACTGGTCATTACAAGTTTTGGAGGGGATGTGAAGATTTAAATCGATGAATTTTCACAAACAATACTTCCACAAACAATACAACTAAAATTTATTTATTGTTTTCTTAGGTTCCAAGAAGATTTTTTTTTTCCGGTACTTTCTAGAAAACTTTAGACATTCTGGAGAATTATTGATCTTTTGAGAGCGTCCTTCTATTTCCGTGCCCAAAATTGTTCTGTATTATTTCTTCATTAGCTGCATTTTACTATTTGCATCTAAAACTCCTGTGTTGCCTGGATACCACAAGAATATGAACAATTGTTTGTTAAACTAGAAATTGGTAAGAGCATGGTATGTATGTTCAACACTTCCATGCAACTATCATAATTTTTATAGTAATCTGGTTGGCTAGCAAATCGTGTGGGTAGGTAGCAACCGGACAATGAATAAAAGGTGAAATGACTTGCATTTTGCAAGTAAGGATTTTCTAACATTTATTTCCATTTTTTAATAGATCTTTCTCTAGTTACATTTTTATTTTGTTCCGTAATGCGAGGGTTTGCACATTTCAACCTCTGGTAATTATTGTAAAATTTAGTTTGTGTGCTTGAGACTACTTTTGATTTGCAAATGATTGCTTATTTTGAATCATTTTCTGACATGCATTTGGCTTGATAATGTTTCATTTCTTCACGTTGCATGCGCAGCTTAGGTGCAACTCCTGTCATGGAACTCATGATTGCTGCTGGAAAGGCTGTTCCACAACTGCAATTGGAGCATGGGCTAGCTGTTGACAGAGTGTATACTGGATCATTCATGACATCACTTGATATGGCAGGTAATTCAAGCGTAAAGCTTGTGTGTGCTATAACTTCTGTAATTAATTTTTTCCGAACTTCATGATTGCTTTTTTCAGGATTCTCTATTTCGATTATGAGGGCAGACAGAGTTATTTTGCAGCGCCTAGATGCCCCAACTAAAGCTCCATTCTGGCCTGTTAGTGTTGAAGGTACATACAAGATGGAAATTAAATTTACTATTCCTCAAATAAATGATAGTGATTTCCAGTTTGGTATATTAATTAGTATAGAAATAATTTATTTAAGCATGATTTTATGACTTCAGGATGCTACTTGGGTGGTTCATCTGCATTGGAAATTTAAAATTAAGATGTGCTTGGTTTCATTTATGATTAAATTGAGGTTGATCTTGTGTCCACCTTATCCACTAACACAGGTTATAAGGAGTCTATAAATAGTTATCCTTTGCCAATTTTATTTATTAACCTAGGTTACGAGGAATCTATTAATTATGAATTGATGCATGTAATTAATAACCTTTTTGTTGAATAAAATCTCCTAGTTTCGATCTTGTGATTATAAGTTGTTTATGCCATTCCTTCAAATGCAGTACATTTATGAATGTAATTTGTGAGCCCTGATTTTTCTGAAAAAAATTAATATTTCGATATGTTTCATATACATAATTTGTTAACGGCCTGCTCTTGATTTTTTGTCAAAAGTGACAGTTTGAAACTTAATTTGTGATAATGGATTTGATTTTTGTATTGATGTTATTTGTTTTCAACGTCTTGCTAAAACTTTTGGACATATTTGAATGGATTATAAAAAAATTGGTGAATAGTTTCTCTTGTATTTCTTACTGAATTGCCGGATATTTACAGACATTTTTCATCAAGGCATTAAAGAGACTATAATCGGAACTGATTAAACTGCATAGGTTGTCTTTCCTTCTATTTAAGCACAATATATAGCGTTAATCATTCTTATTTGTTGGAAATAGTTAGAGCTATGTATAGATGATAGAATTTGATATTTGTAATGATGAAAATAGTATCTAAATTAGCCGTTGAATTAATGAGGACGTGGACAATTATAATACAGATAAGGCAGCAAACAGCTGATTACGGTAAAGCATCTGGTGGACATTTGTAGCAATGCATGAGGCAGATAGTAGGCCTTGTATCAGGGAGGAAGGATGCTTGGAGCGCAATTTGCTGCAGATGGAAGGAGATGTGCTAGGTTCATTGTTGGAGGTGAGTGGTTACTGATTAGGAAGCCGGAATAGCAATTCTATCCGAGTTATTGCAAGGAGAAAATGTGTGAGCTATAATAGAAAGTTCAACTTTCAATTTGGAGCCTATAATAGTCAGGAATGTTTGAACTTCAATTTATTTCTTGCATTTGTGAAAAGAAAGAAATTCAAGCTTATGATATTATTAGCCATATTTACCAACACCCTTCTCAATTCTAGGAATAAATGTTTTTCTTTCGTAGCTTGCTTAACACAATTTCAAAGGCTTCTTTGCTTGACATTTTTGTAAGAACATCAACTTGATGTACAGTTGTACGAATTTAATATGAACTTGTTCCATCTCCTTTAAGTTCTTTTTTATTAATGAACAATCATTCCTTGCTTGTCTCATTCTGTCATGTTGAAAATAATTTTTAATAATACTAATTATTTCTTTAATGTCACCATAGAGTTATAGGTGATGTAAATTTGTAAATTCTTGGTCACTTTTCAGACGCCTTGTGCAATAGAATTTTTTTTCAACTCCACGTTAAGCTACCTCTATTTCTTTGTTACCTCTTCAAGTGGTTAAATTTTCTTGTAATTTGTGGGCAATACCGTGCTAAATTTCTTTTCTCACTGTATGCCCAATTTGAAACATTTTAACCTTCTATGTTTCTATTTTTGTGTTTAAGGAAACACCATGCCTGCCGTAGGGCTGATACCGGAATTAGTCAATAATGGGAAAAGCAAATATTATTGTTGAATTCAACACAAATTCACACTAGGGTTCGATTCAGGGGTGATTGTGGTTAAGTTATGGGGGTTGGAAAGGGCAGCAAGTGACTGTAATGACGATATGGGTTTTTTTGGACGGCGGTAGCAACAGCAAAGGAGTGTTGGGCTGCGGTTTTTGGATACATAAAGTATAGGTCGTCTGGACAATAGGTAGGCAGTGATTGAAGATGGTAGGGGCAGCTAGGAATGTTGGCGGCTGCAAGAAACAATAAAGGAGTGGCTAGCGGCTGTTTCTGCAGGAAGACAACAAGGAGTGAGGAAGGGGCGGTGGCTGGAAAGGGGAATACTGCAGGAAAGAATAACAAACACTGTTGCCTTGGGCGGCTGTAGCAGTGAAGGGGTGGTGGGGAACGATGGGAAGTGATGTGGGAAGGATCCGGAGGGTTTGAGGGAAGATAATCGCTACCTGGGAAGCGTGATACAACTTTAGCATCACTCGACACTTGGATACAACCCTAGAAGGGAAAATTTGAGATGACGACAGCTATCCCGAACAGAAACACGACAAATTAACCCTAAAACATCATGAAAGTGAATATATATTAATAGGATAACTAGGTGTGGCCCAAGAGGACCAACTGACTTCTCAGAAGGCTTGGATAAATTAACCCTAAAACATCATGAAAGTGAATATATATTAATAGGATAACTAGGAGTGGTTCAAGAGGACCAACCGACTTCTCAGAAGGCTTGGATAAATTAACCCTAAAACATCATGAAAGTGAATATATATTAATAGGATAACTAGGTGTGGCTCAAAAGGACCAACCGACTTCTCAAAAGGCTTGGATTGGTTCAGTTCAGGCACTAGACGCGGCTTTTGGTGGGGAGGGGACCGCCCATCAGCGTTTGTCTCTCGTGGTTGAGGGACCTCATTTGCCGAAGCTTCTGCCTCTTCGTAGTTATGAAATCTTGATCTATGATGGGCATTAGTGAAATTTGTGCTTTTTTGGGGAGAAACATGCCTCAGCTATCGACCCCTTCATGCTGTGCCATGATCTCGGCTTACTTGAAAGTTTTGCCTTTACATAATCTCTTAGCTCAGTCCTTCACTGCAAATAAATAGACTGATAGACACTGTTGCATTCTGTTCATTTTTTTCACCACTACATTTTCACACGGAACCTCTAATTTGTAGGAGACCGCCCACCTGCTAAAATACCCATTCCAATACGGCCATCCCGGATGGAAACAAATGAGGAGGTATGAATCAGCAAGATCCCTTTTGTAAAGATTGAAGATATTTTCTTGTAAATTTATTGTTTGTTGCATTTTAAACCTTCTTTCTATTGCTTGGTGAGTACCCTCCGCAGAAACTAACTACCCTTCCTGATTCTCCAACTCCTTACCATTCACTTAATGTGGATGCAGTTGTTTGCCAAACCACAAGAGCTCAGTGAACAGGGTTGCATTCTAGAAGCTGCTATCAGAGCCGCTGCAAATGAAATAATCAATCTAAGGGAAAAATTAAATGAATGGGATAGTAAAGTTGGTGATGGAGATTGTGGATCTACTGTGAGTTGATTTATTAGCTATTCAATTTTTCCGTTAATAGCATTTTTTTCCCCCTAAATTCTTCTTTCCAAGGAGGCTGGGTAAATTTAAGGAAAACTTTTTTGTACAGATGTTTAGAGGTGCCACGGCAATTTTGGAGGATATGGAGAAATGGTAAACCTTTGCTCAAGTTATTTAATGCATTGTGTTTGCAATTTTTTCCTTACTGATTTTACTTTTGTTTTAAAAGCTCTTGATGGATCTATCTGTTTCTAGGCTAAAGATTTCTATTCATGTGTATCACATCTGTAACTGTCACTACAAGCTTTAACACAAAACATTAACTGCAGTACATGTAGCTAGCTTCTTGGTTTAGCTTGCCAACCTTTTGAGGCTTAGTTGGAAAGCAAATTTCCTTGTTGATTTATTTGATTAAGCCTTTCACTACCAGATATGATAAATGGTTCGTTTAGTTAGCATTGTGCAAACTATTGATTTGCTGTGTGCATGCAGCAGAATGGTTGTCTAATAGAATTTAAATTTTATCGCCCAATTGGACCCAAATTTGCTTGAACAAAACTCCTATATAAAGTTTTTTTCGCAGTTTCAAAAATTTATAAACAAGGACAGTAGTTTAACCTATTTTTGCACACAAGGAGAACAAATCTAAGCTTTATGTTGAGGTTTTCTATAGCTCTAGTAGTATTTCTTGGGTGTATTGTGAAGCACAGTATTAATTCAAGGGTTGATTTTGAATTCCTGTCATAACATAATGTTCGGTTTCCATGACAAACACGAGTAATATTTTTAGAGAAACCCTAATAGTGCTAGAGGATTTTAGCAAAAACCTGGTATTGGGTCAGGGTTCATTCTCCTTGTTTGCAAATAGGATTAAACTTTATCTTCTTTTAGCAAATTTTGAGAATAGCCTTATTTTACCAAAAACCAGAATATAGGGAGTTTCTTAACAATTATCCCTCTTATATATATATATATATAGGTTGCGCCAATGCTGTTAATGTAGAAATTTATTTTGGCACTGTAATGGATGTATTAATTATATTATTGTGAAAAGGAAGATTTGAAGGGCTTAGTGATTATTGTTCATGTTTTTGGAATTTTGAGGATTAGTTTTTACTTGTTACAAGCCACCCAACGTGACTGGTTAAAATTTTGTTTTGCAGTTACCCTCTGAATGATGCTGCACAAACCGTAAAGGAGATTGGGACGTCAATTAGGAGGGTGATGGGAGGAACAAGTGGGATCCTGTACTGTATACATTGCCTTCTTATTTTAGTTTTCATTGGAGATCTGTTTGCTAAAATTGTCAATTCTCATTCATTAATGGATCATAGCAGAACTTTTGTTTGATTAATGGTTCATTGCCCGTTTATCAGATATGAGATATTGTGCAAAGCTGCCTATGCAAGCTTAAAAGTATGTCCTGTGATTACATCTAAGGAATGTGAGTTGCTTTGAAATAGTGTCGTGCGAACTTTTGACTAGCCTTTCACCCAACATATGTAAAGAAGGGCTCTTTTGGTGTAGGGGCTAATGCTCTCGAGGCAGCCATTGCTGCGGTAATCAAATATGGTGGAGCTGTTTCTGGGTATCGCACGATGCTGGATGCACTTATTCCAGCTTCGTCTATCCTAAAAGAGGCAAGTTAGATGCTACCCATTGCCATCCTTCTCTATTTACTCTTATATTGTTGACTTTTTGGGATTGTCGTGTTGCTGCAGCGGCTGGAAGCAGGCGTTGATCCTGAAAGTGCTTTTGTGATATCAGCTGAAGCTGCGTGGCATGGTGCTGAATCAACCAAAAACATGCAGGCCCAAGTAATTCTTCTTTCTTCTTCGTTCATCTTAGTGTGGCCGGAGAGTTTCTTCAACAACTATGTTCATGGACGACATTTTGAAGGAAAAAAAAACGTCATTTTCATGAATCGTAGTCCTGTTTTTATTTTTATTTTTATATGTTTTCATGTTATTCGTTGCAATTTTAGGCTCATTCTTTTGAAAGTTAAATGCCTGAGCATGTCTTCTGCTTGCATATCAGAGGAAAGGATCTGATTCAAAGTCTTCGACTCTGCTTTTTTTTTTGGTTGGGAATTTTACATAAGGATCACACGATTCTTATGTATTTACATAACTCACACCTAAACTTTCATACCTAAACTTTCATATTTACATCCATATTTACATTCATAGCACTTCGCTATTTTAAACTTATGCATGAATAGGTGTTTTTTGACTTTAAAAGAGTGGTAACGGTGTGCTATCTTTTATGTATTAAAGATTCGAGTGCTTTGTGTGTAAAAAGTGAGATATGCAAATACATAAGAATTGTGTACTATGTATGTAAATGCACTTTTTTAGTTTATTTGCTGATATATCAACACATCAGCTGGCCTTGTACACGATGCATTCGTACATTCGTTTGATTTTTGCTCACTTACTGTCTTCCACATTATGCTCAGGCTGGTCGGTCATCATATGTGTCAGCAGAAATGCTTGCTTTAGTTCCTGATCCAGGAGCCATGGCCGTGGCAACATGGTACAAAGCAGCAGCATTTGCAGTCAAAGATGTGGCCATCAAACATCTAAAGGATGAACCGTCTTGACACGTCCGAAACTTGAAAAATCTACGCACCTTATCGATGAGTTACTTCACAATTTTTACGACATCAACACATTTTGTTTTCCGCTTTTGTCCGGTGGCAATGAGCTGAGAAAGCGTGTTTTGAATGAGTTATTTCTTTTTTAGCCTGATGCTTTTTGTAAGACTCTAGATAACTCCTGCAACATTTTCATATTTTTTGGGCGCGATCTATTGCTTTAAAGTCACTGCTAATTATTATTGAATTGACGATTAAGTTCTGTTTTCCATGGACAAAACTTAATTACTTGCATATATATATATATATATATATATATTATGGTATGACTCATATACCATATAGGGACAGACGTTGGAATGAAGCGGAGCGGAACTAAAGAATCTGTTCAAATTGGTAAGTTGCGTTACGTGGGTTGGGGGTGCGAGTGCAACGCCTCGTGGTACGGTACATGAGTAATGTTGTAATTACATATTGTACTTAGGGTTTATTTCTGGGGTTATAAAGACATGTTAGTAACCCCATGAGACATCCCAAATTCTGTAATCTCACGTAGGCATCTTTGTTGAACCTCGTTAAATCTCTGTGTTCTTTTGGATTTGTGTCGATTCATGTTTCTTTTTTGTCATAATTTCTCAACAAGTGGTATCAGTGTCAAGTTCTAGGGCAGAAGAGATCGACGCAGGAAGAAGATTCGGCGGCGGAGGAAGAGCAGGGTGCGGGATTCGCGAATCTCGGCAACTCGTGACGCTATTCGCGGCAGCGTGAGGAGTTTTTTTTTTGGTGGCAGGCTCCAGATCGGGGGCTTCAGATTCGGCGCAGTGCTTCATCCAGCAAGGTGCGATTTTTCAAAACTTCTTTCACGATTGGTTCAACACGTAGTTTTGGACGGTTAGTGTTCGAAGGCAGAGGCACTGGGCGACAGAGGCTTGGTTCGTGGGAGAAGTCGGCGTAATCGGGAGGCTCAGTTCGAGCTTCGGAGGCTGCTAGGTGGACAAACCAGGAAGGATTTAAAGAATATTCCTTCGGGATATCTCCTGGAGAAGAATTTTTTTTTTTCCTTTGCTGGAGGCTGAGAGGAAATAGAAGGAATTTTTATTTCTTTTTGTTGGAGGCTGAAGAAAGAAATCTTTCCTCTGTTGGAGCTGTGTGAAATGCATGATCAATTTCAAATTGTAATATCTGGTGTGAAATTCGTGGTGGTGAAGTTCCATGGAACTGGTAACTTCGGATTATAACAAACAATGGTGAAAGATTTGTTGGCACGACAGAGAATCTTAAAGGCTTTGCGGACGCTAACGGTGATGAAAGGAAAGTTAACTGCAAACAATATCTATAAACTGTTAGGGAGTACAGTTGTAGGTGAAGTTCATTCTGTGGAGTCAGATGATGATAATACAAATCTATGAAATATGCGTTTAGGTCATCTCAGTGAACGTGGGATGACAGAATTGCATAGAAAAAATCTGTTACATGGTGTTAAAAGCTGCAAGCTCGATCTTTGTAAGTTCTGTTTTGTAAGTTCTATATTCTTGGTCTTTGTAAGTTCTATATTCTTGGAAAACAGACTAGACTCAGTATTATGATTGAAAAACATAAAACTAAAGAGATCTTTGATTATGTGCATTCTGATGTATGGAGCCCTACTAGGGAATCGTCATTAGAAGGATCTCAGTATTTTGTTACCTTTATTGATGATTTTTCCTGGAAAGTTTGGGTGTATTTCTTGAAGCAGAAATCTGAATTCTTCTCTAAATTTAAGTTGTGGAAAGCTGAGGTGGAGAACTAAACTGACAGAAAGATCAAGTATTTGAGATCCGATAATAACACATAGTACACAAATTCACAGTTTCAGAAGTTTTGTGAGGAGCATGAGATTCAGAGACATTTTTCAGTGCGCAAGACACCACAACAGAATGGTGTGACAGAATGGATGAACATGTTATTAACTTAAAGTGCAAGATGCTTGAGACTGAATGCAGAACTTCCTAAGAGTTTCTGGGCAGAGACTGTGAATATGACATATTATCTCATCAATAGATCACCTCCGACATCGTTGGGTGGTAAGGTCGCAGAAGAGGTATGAACATGTAATCCAGTTAATTTAGATCATTTACGATTTTTTTGTTGTCATTTTTATGTGCATGTACCTGGAGATGAAAAATCAAAACTTGATGTAAAATCCAAGAAATGCATCTTTCTGGGCTATAAGAAAGGTGTGAAATGATACAAGTTTTGGGATCAGATTGCAAAGAAGATGGTGATCAGCAGAGATGTAGTTTTGATGAACAATCCATTTTATAATAAAATCAAGACAAGGTGAAAGGGAACAGTTCCAGTTCAGATACAGTGCAGATGAATTTAAAACATCATCCAGAAACAACTGAGAGAGTTGAAGGTTCAAATCCAGCACTTGGTGATTCCATTCCAGATGATCTGCAGAATTATAATCTACCCAGAGACAGACAGACACACCAATATAATACCTCATAGCAAATTGAGTTATGATGACTTGGTCTCTTGTGCACTTCTCATCTGCAGCGATGATCCAACCACTTTTTAAGGAGCTATCACTAGCCAGGAGAAAGAGAAATGGATGGGTGCAATGGTTGAGGAAATGGAGTCTTTGCAGAAAAATCGCACATGGGAGCTAGTTCAGCTTCCTGAGGGAAAGAAGGCTATTGGTTGCAAGTGTGTGTACAAAAGGAAACCAACAGTATCGGAAAAAGAAGAGGAAAAGTTCAAGGCTCGACTGGTAGCACAGAGATTTTCACAGCAGAAGTGGATAGTATATGATTAAATTTTTGCTCCTGTGGTCAGACATACTTCAATCAGGGCAGTGCTTGCATTAGTAGCTATTTGAGATTTGCATTTGGAGCAGATAGATATTAAAATTGCTTTCTTGCATGGTGATCTGGAGGAGCAGATTTACATGGAATGGAGCAGCCAGAAGGGTTCACTCAATCTGGACACGAGCATCTGGTTTGCAGGTTAAATAAATTGTTGTATGGGTTGAAACAGTTTCCAAGATAATTGTACAAGCTTATGTGAAGAGCCTTGATGATCATTCTATTATTTTTTATGTTACTGTATGTTGATGATATACTGATTTCTGCAAAGAATATGAATGATGTCTGTGGTTTGAAAGCTTTATTGAGCCAAGAATTTAACATGAAAGACTTGGGGCCTACGAAGAAGATTCTTGGAATGGAGATTCATCGAGATAGAAACTCAAGACGATTATGTTTATCTCAACGAGGTTATGCTGCGAAAGTTTGACATGTTTGAGATAAGCAATAGCACCCCTTTGGCAAATCATTTTAAGCTTTCTTCAGAACAGTGTCCTAAGACATACATAAATCGAAGGCATGGCAAGGTTCAATATGCCAGTACAGTTGGCTGCTTAATGTATGCAATGGTATGTACTCGTCATGATTTGACTCATGTTGTTAGTCAAGTCTGCAAATATATGGCTAAACCTGGAAGGCGACATTGGGAAGCAGTCAAGTGGATTTTCAAGTATCTGAAGGGTACTGTAGGACATAAAATTATTTTTGGCAGTCAACAAGATGATTCTTCAGTTGTGGGGTATGTTGATTGTGACTATGTTGGTGATCTGGATGGCAGAAGGTCTACAACTGGGTATGTGTTTACTCTTGGTGGAGGGTTTATATGTTGGAAATCAATAATTCAGTCTATTGTGACATTATCTACAATTGAAGCTGAGTACATGACAGTAGCTGAAGCTACTAAGGAAGTCTTATGACTTGTTGGGTTAGTAAAGGAATTGGGCATTGAGCAAGGTGAAGTTCAGTTGCATTGTGACAGTCAGAGCGCTATTTATATGGCTAAGGACCAGGTGTACCATGTGAGTACCAAGCACATTAATGTCAGGTATCACAAGATCAGAGAATTGATTGCTTCTGGTGAGATACTGTTGCAGAAGGTTCATATTGATGAGAATGCAACTGATATGTTGACCAAACCAATTACTATCAACAATTTCTTGCATTGCTTGGACTTATTGAATGTTTGCAGTTGTTAGAGAAGCTTCGTGGCCCAACTCACAGTGGTGCAGATGTAACTCTCAGGTATTTTTTCTTCTAAGGGGTTGTATATTCGTCAAGGTGGAGATTTGTTATGGCATTGCTCATATACCATATAGGGGCAGACGATAGAATGAAACAGAGCGGAAGAATTTGTCCAAATCGGAAAGTTGTGTTATGTGGGTTGGGGGTGCAAGGGCAACACCTCGCGGTACGGTATAGGGGTAATGTTGCAATTACATATTGTGCTTATGACTTACTTCTGGGGTTATAAATAGACATGTCAGTAACCCCAGGAGACATCCCAAATTCTGTAATTTTTTTTCTGAATTTTGAAAGGAACTCATCGCTCTGCTCCTGAGAACGTATGCATCTTTGCCGAACCTCGTTAAATCTCTGTGAGTTCATTTGGATTTGTGTCGATTCCTGTTTTTCTTCGCCCTAATTTCTCAACATATATATATATATATACGGAAGAATACAAACA